AAGCTTGTTCTAAGTAGGTGCTTTAGACCACTGAGCCATCTCTCAAGCCCCTCCATTCCTTCTTGGTGAGATTTGGCCCTGTGTTCCAGGATCTTTTTGGGGTCAGGCCTTTTTTGCCCTGGTGATAACAACCCACCTGGACAGTTGTGCTTTTTGCCTTTTCTTGCTACATTTGTTCAGTGTAGATGATGCACTTCTTCCTGTAAATGTAGACTACCCTGCCTGTGTGCTAGCAGATCATCATAGTGTGCTTCCACAGCCTTGACATCATTATCCTTTTGGAATGGCAGAGTTCAATCATTGTACTTCTGTCTCAGCTCTTTGCAAAAGGGTGAAGACACAGTCTTCCTGCAGATGTGGAAAGGTTCATTGAGATACCTTTTCCATTCTTTCTTCAATCAGGACTCACAAAGGGATTGAACTTCCTGTTGGCTGCTGCTGCTTTAGGGACAGCAGGCTTCTTAAAAGGCATAGCCATGCCTCTAGAGAGACAGATTCAGACACAGTATCTCCTATTTAACTTTAATTTTTAAATTAAATTTATTTATTTGTGTGTGTGTGTGTGTGTGTGGCCAGCTCAGCCCACCAGGGGGCGGCGCTGGCTGGCATGTGGTGCTGGGGGATTGAACTGCAGTCCCTGTGCTTTGCTAAGCTTGTTCTAAGTAGGTGCTTTAGACCACTGAGGCATCTCACCAGCCCCTCCTATTTAACTTTAAACAGACAGATGAATTTAGAAATATATCTGCTACAACATGTTTGCTGAATTAGCCATTTCTGATGAGTGGTATGGCTATGACTTTGTCATTTCTAAGACATGTGTTTCTAATATGGGCTTTAAATTTTGGAGAATGAATTCACTTCTTTACCACCATCAAGTGGATTAAAATGAAATTGAGCATGGTAGTACCTGCCTGTAATCCCAGTACTTAGGAGGCTGAGAAAGGATTGCTGCGGGTTCCAGGTTAGTGTGGACTATAAAGCAAGACTCTATCTCGAAGAAGGGAGGATGGATGGATGGATGGATGGATGGATGGATAGATAGCTCAATTGATCAATGAAGGAAGAGAGAGAAGAAGCACTAAGGGAAAAGTGAAGGGAAAAGGTTGACTGACTTGGAGTGCTGAGGTGGGAATTATATACTTCATCTGTTATAAAATTGAATGCTCTGAAATTTTGATAGTTGATGAGTTTCAAAATCTATAGATAATATATTTTAGAAACTAGAAGTAGCTGTTTGACCTGTGTTTCCCGATACTGATGAAAAACATAAATTACATATGTCTTGTTATCATATGCAACATGCTATGTAATGATAGCTGGAAAATGTGGAATTTATATATTTCTTAAACCTTCTTGATAAAAGAAAAAGCAAATAATTTTGGAAAGGCAGTAAGTTCATCGAATGTATACATATTTTAATCTTGGGTTTTTGTTCTTATGTCTGCAGGAAGCATGTGTGTTTCGTTTCTTACCCAGAGTTACCAACTGCCAGTTCTTGATACCATGTTTGTAAGAAAGAAATACCGAGGCAAAGATTTTGGGCTTCATATGCTGGAAGACTTTGTTGATTCCTTTACAGAAGATGCCCTTGGTTTGAGGTACCCTCTGTCTTCTTTCATGTACACAGGTAAGTGGACGAAGCTGAAAATGCTAAGCTTGTTTTTCTTAGTGTCACTTCAAAGTTATTTCTCCAGAATTTTATAAATGTATGTGTTTTAATATTAAGGAAATTTGGAATTTTGGCTTTTTAGGTCATTTTGTGACTTACGTTATATGTGTGTAGGTCTTCTTTTTTTTAACAACTGAATATAATTCACATAGGACCCAAGTATCCTTCATAATTACCTTTTCAAAGAAAGTTAAAGAGAATGATGTCAGCAGAAGGATCAGTTTATTTTTGTTTTATTTTATTTTTTTGCGGAACCGAGGATTGAACTCAGGTCCTTGCACTTGCCAGGGAAGTGCTTATTCCACTGAGCCATCTCCCCAGCCCCTGAAGGATCAGTTTAGTTGTGAAAAAGTGGCCTAATCAGCTGCCTACCTACCTTTCTTCCTTCCTTGTATTTATTACAAGGTCTCACTACACAGATCAGACTCAGTGATTCTCCTGTTTTCAGCTTCCCAAGTGCTGGCTGGGAAGTGCCCCCACTTCCAGTCTTAATCGCTGGCTCAGCGTGCCCTGGGGGCGGGGCTGGCACAGCATGCTGGGGATTGAGCCCCAGTCCTTGACTCTCTCTAAGCAGGTGCTTTAAACCACTGAGCTATCTGGCCCACCCCCTACTCCTAGTCAACCTTTTAGAACTGTCCCTCTTGAAGTAAGGTCTGTAGTCTTTCTGCATGCATAGAGATAACCTGTGGCAATTTAAAATACACATACAGATTCCTGAGCTCATTTATAGGAGGTCTGGTTCTGTGGGTCTCAGTTGAAACTAGCTGCCTGCATTCTCAGCATCTACACATTATCTGTGGACTTGATCTTAGAGAAAATCTGCTCTATGCACTGGACTCCCAGCATCTGGAACATTCATTTATAATCTCATAAACCCTGATAGCATAAATCTGGCCACTATAAATAAGCTGGCCTTTCTTTGAAGTGTTAAGCTCTTTACTTTGGGAATGAGATTGTAAGGAAGAGAATCATCTCATGGTTGTTGAAGAGTGTTCCGAAGTTGTTGAAGTATTCAACAATATTAGGCCATTCGTATATATAATTTAGTGGCATAAAAGTGATCAAGGAGAATTACAATTCAAGACTCCTTTGTTCACTTATCTGAGCATTCATAGTTGTGCAGTTGTGTTAATACCAGAACATTCTCATCCCCTAAAAGAAACCTTGCATTCATTAGCTTTGCTTTGCTTTGCTTTGCTTTGCTTTGCTTTGCTTTGCTTTGCTTTGCTTTGCTTTGCTTTGCTTTTCTTTTCTTTTCTTTTCTTTTCTTTTCTTTTCTTTTCTTTTCTTTTCTTTTCTTTCTTTCTTTTTGCAAAACCGAGGATTGAACTCAGGCCCTTGTGCTTGCCAGGGAAGTGCTTATTCTATTGAGCCATCTCCCCAGCCCCCAGCCGTCATTCTTCATTGCCCCTCTTTTTCTATTCTCTGGCAGGTACTCACTGATCTATTTTTTTATGGTTTTATTTTTTATTTTTTAATTTGTTTCGATTTACTAATTCTTGCTCTTCATATCAGTGGAATCATAGGGCTTTCAGAATTCATCCATGGTGTAGCCTGAATTAATACTTTTTTATATAGCTGAAAAATATTACATTGTATGCATATACTACATTTTCTTCCAAGTTACTGTATTAATTTACCTTCTCTAAGTAACATGCTATCCTGGGCTTCAGTGTACCTCAGTCCCCGAGAGTACCGGGATTATAGGTGTGTGCCACCATGCCCAGTTTCTTCTGTGCATTTTTAATTATAGTCATCCTATGAGGTAGCACCTGATTTGCAGTTAATGTTGAATGACTGTTCCTGTGTTTTACTGGTTATTTGTTTATTGTCTTTGGAAAACTGCCTGTTCTGAGCCTTTGACCATTTTTTCTTTGGGTTGTCTGAATTAGCTATTTAAAGTAACAGTAGCAACAAAATTTTGGACATTCAAACCATATGAAGTAAAAGGTAGCAAATGCTCTTTACCATTTAGTATATACCAGCCTGATAAATGCATTATTGTCATTAGAACTGAAGTCTCCTTTGTGTTCCTACCCAGTTAAACTCCTTCCCTGAGAAAGGTGCTATTATCAGGTTGACATTTACCTTTTTCATGCATTTGTTTGACTTCTAGTGCCTGTGTGTATCCTCTGACAACATATTGTATTGATTTACATATTTGAAACCTTTTTATAAATATTCTATAACTTCTTCTGCAGTTTTGCTTTGTCAATCTTTATGTTCGTAAGATTCATGGATTCATGAAATCTATTCATTTTTAGTGTTTGGTATTCTGTGTAAATATACCATCTGGCAATGTTTTGAAAACCACACCTGATTTACTTTTATTTATTTATTTTTATTTTATTTTATTTTTTTCCCCATAATTTTATTGATAAACAAATAGCAGTGAGACAGTTTCAAATCAAATTGGACAGTTTCAATAATTAACACATTGCATACATTCTTCCTAGTGGTTAATTGCTGTATAAATGAGGACATGATATCCTAAAACCATTAGAACAAATCCCTCTATTCATTAAGAGAATGTAACTATATATCTATCCTAACCACATTGAATACACAGATACAAAATGGACATTCATCCGTATCCCCTTTTTTTGGTTAAGTTCCATTATTTGAATATTACAGGTGTGTAAACTCAGCAAAATATTTTAAAAGAGTCCAGTAGCCCATAGTAGTATTGGGTCTTCTGTTTGACTGGCAGTGTCAGAAATTGTTGACCTGAGTCCCCTACAGCTCAACATAACAGCAGGGCTTTAACTTCTTATGATTTCATTTTTATACTTTTCTGTTTGATGGTTAAGACCAAAGTAAAGCAGGACTTAGGCAACAAGAGTTGTAGCTTTTTGGTCTGATAAGGTCAGTGAAATCCCCTCAGGATTTATCCTGAGATCCTGTACCTCAGATTGTAAAACCGTTCTCAGTGTCAGCCAAGTGGATGAGTTATGGCCATTGCTTGGCCAGTGTGCTCTCTGTGAAAGCCTGAGAGAATGTTTTCTCTC